TATTGTTGGGGGCAATATGCTGACTCTCTGTAAACCGCTTAGAGAGGGCTGAAAGCGGTATATAAGTCTACTGCTATTGCTATAAAAGCTAAATGGGTGACTTGGAGCCAATCATCAGGGGACTTTGGGTTCTAGCCCTATTTTAGACATGAAAGCTAGCTGGCTCTGAGTTCTAATCCTCCCTTAGGCATGAAAACTTCCTGGGGAACTTTGGGCCAGTGCCAGGAGGCCCTTTGATATCCAGTCCTGCCTTTGGATTTGGGATTGGGAGAGTGAATCTTGGAAACATTTTCTCTTATGAATGTTCTCATATTAGTGACTTATTGTTTTCCCCAACATGCAACCTGTATTTCCCCAGAACTGAACTTTCCCCCATCACATCAGACAGTGTTGGACATTCAGCCACCATCGAACAGATGTTCTGATACCATAATTGGGGATTCCCCAGGGATGGCTGAGTGTCCAATATTGTCTGATGTAATGGAGGAAAGTTCAGTTCTGGGAAACACCCCTTCTGTGTTGGGCAAAGTCTCTTCCTTCTGCTTGTGGGGGAACCAGAGGCCTCTGTGTGGTCACTGAGAATCTTAGGCTGACCTCGGTCTGATCCATCAGAGCTTTTCTTGTCTCTGAAAATGGAATTTGCAAAGGAATTCAATTCCCAATTAATAGCCGTTCTGAAACATAAAAAATGGTTTCTAATTAATCAGCAATCTCTGTGGTTGGAGAACAGAGTTGAAGGTTTGTGACCTGGTCAGTGATGCTGCTGCCTTGAGGCTGGATCCCTTCAACCTCCTTCTGGGGAGAGTCTCAAGGTCCCCTTTCTCTGGACATCTTTTCCAGCCCTTCACAGACAAGACAAGCTTGGAAGAGGAGCAGAGAAAAAGGCTTTAGGTACAAGTGGTAGAGTGGACAATTAAAGGACCAGAAAATAGTCAGATATTGCTCTTTTATTTCTTGAATAAGGACAGAAAGAAAAACTAAAGAGCTACGCAATGACCCAAAAATGAAATCCCAGACAGCTGTTGTGATCCACACTTTCTCTGGAATACCATAGGCCCCATCAGGACATCAAGAAGGAACCATTGAATAGTTGTGCAGATTTCCCTCCCAAGCGGAGAGCAGGTGAAACCCTGCATTTCACATCATTTGGGGATTTCATGGGTTCCCACAGAGATTATTTCACAAAATGATTGGAGCTTCTTTCCCACAGCTTCCATATTGCCATTTTTCCTACTTAGGCTTTTCTCTCACACACAGACACTTTACATTCTCTCAGTAGGAAAACCTCAAATTATTTTTATAAGGCGTCAGGTTCATTGGCTGTTGCTGAACATCAAATTCTCCTGAATGACCTTCACAGAGTTCTCTTTATTAAGATTTATTGAGCTGAAAGGGAAAGGGATTAAAGAAACATAGACATATATTCTTCTTGGATTCCTGCATACTATCTAAGTAGAAATAATATTTTCTTTCAAATAAAAGAAAACTTAACAATTATTTCATCATTATAATGGTGTTATATCATGTTTTTACATTTGTTCTGGCTGTAAGCTGTTCCTTTGTGTTCAGGTCAATAAATCTTAATAAAGAGAATTCTGTGAAGGTCATTCAGGAGAATTTGATGTTCAGCAACAGCCAATGAAACTGAGGCCTTATAAAAATAATTGAAGCAGGTTTTCCTACTGACAGAGCTGAAAAGTGTCTCTGTGTGAGAGAAAAGCCAGAGGAGGAAAAATGGCAACATGAAAGCTGTGGGAAAGAAGCTCCAGTCATGCTGTGAGATAATCTCTGTGAGAACCCATGAAATCCCCAAATGATGTGAAATGCAGGGTTTCACCTGCT